TAAAAATAACGAAAGTATAATAGATAAAGAGATAAGAGAAGGCTTATCATTCGCCACCAAAGAGACATCGCTATTATTCACATATTGTTTATGTTAATAATCGTTTTTTTCGTAACTATCATATGCCCGACTACATCATGATATTCTCTTTTTCTTTTTCAGCGGAAGGAAGGAAGAACAAGACAGTGCAAGGAATAATAAAAAGTGAAATACGAAATAAGCGTCCGCCACACAATCAAATCAGAATCTATAGTCTTGCGCGTCTGGCATTTCATCAATATTTCTTTCCGACCTTTAACAAAAACAAAGTGAACAATCGGTTACATCAACAAAATGGAAAATAATTACAACATCGGCTTAATCGTCTAAATAGCAAGGGGAACACAATTTCAACCTCTCCATTGAGATGTAAAGGCGATCATGGCCGAGAAGAGGAAGTCAAGGAAGAAAGTCCAGGTAATTCATCCTGTTAAATCACCCTCACGTCACCCACTTCCTCCAAACAGCCAGCTCCAGCCGACACACGAAACCTCCCTCTATCCGAAAAAGCCCCCAAATCTGACTGCCAAGGTCACCAAAGGACCCTAAAGTAAGGTCAAAGTCAGCGTACCTGTAGAAACAGCTGTTCCTTGTACGTCACTGGGGAGACGTCTTCGCAGGGGCGTCTTCAGCAACGTTCCAGGGGGAGGGGGGCGTAGGGGGTACCAGGGGGCTTAGGGGGGGAGTTCATTGACTCCTCCCCCTTTTAGAGTGACGGTGACGTAGTGAATGCGGGTTGGTGTCTTTTGGGGCTTTTTAAAAACCAGGTAATATTTCTCGTGCTACAATAGCGGGGCTTTGACAGACCCGACTCTCGTACAGTGGGAATAGAAACCGTACATGCGTTGTTAAAAAAAATACTCCCTTTAAATATCTATTATTCTTGTAGTAATATGAATAAATAAACCACAAGAAATTATTCTATCCGATGAGAAGGGCACCTGCACAGAGGGAAGAGTTTCCAGAGAGATCCAGACAGGAGAGACATACAAGACAGTGTTACACGTCATACCTTAGAGAGAGAGAGTCAGCTGTTGCGCCTCATTTCATGCTGTAACATCCGGAATGGCGAAGAAAAGGCTCAAGGTACTGGGAATTCTGGGTTTTCTGTTGTTTTAGGGATAATTCGAGGAGATATTTTGCTCCTGAGTAGGTTATTTGATTAAAAATGGGGAAGGTTTTGTAATGGTGATGTGGATGTATAGGTATGGAGGTCAGAGCAATGCATGTGGATTAGTTTCAGGAAAATATTTTTAGGTATTTTTTAGTGGATAGAGATATTCTTTTGGGATTATTTCATGTTTTTCTTTTATATTATTCATGTTTCTTTCTCTTATTATTTTGTAATGTTATGGTGTCTTAGAAGGAGCTCTAGAAATATGGAATTAGATTAGTTTAACAGCTGGCTTGCTACCTCACAAAACTAATTACACATGGAATTTTCCCCATAAGAATTTCTTCAGGATGTATGAGGCAGACAGAATATTAATTTTCATGTTAAGGTAACACAAGATAAAGAAAGATTGAAAAGAAACTTGAGAAATATGAATAAAACAGACAGTTTGATAGAAAATTAATATAGACCTTTTTGTCCAAATATCAGTGGTTTGGCAATTAAAATGTTGTATTTTTGTGGCTTATTATGTGTTGAAGATAAAGTACCTAATAAAATTGAATATTATGTAAATCATTAAATTAAAATGGCAGGTGATTCTTTCTGTACAGAAAAATTGTGAACACAAATCCCATTCACAGAACTTAACATGTTGGACTTTGCCGTTTGTGTTTTCGGGACATCCACAGTGCCTTTCAATATCTCAAAACAAGAATATCTTCTCGTAACTAACTTCTCATAACACACACTTGAAATTTGGTCGTGTTTGTGAGACACGTTCCTCAGCTTTCGAATTGAGATATTTTCTTGTAATTTCATTGCTTGCATTTTTTTGTAATCCACATGAGACTTGCTGTGAACCATGATAATTAAAATATTGCTGTAGTTCAAATAATCAGCATAGCACTAGTACATTTGGATATCCTTATTTGATGTTAAATTACTGGTGAGATTTACAAGTGTAGGTATCTTCTGCATTGCATTGTCTGATAAGGATCTAATCCAAATTCCATTGTACCAATATGTACAAGATTTGGAGATTTGTTGGTCTATGCCAGACTGCCCAAAATACACATGCTGTGATGATAATTTTGATCACTGCAAATGTGTTTTGACCCTGTTTGGTTTTAAGTATTATCCTTACATACTTACTAAATATCCAATATAAGCTGATCAGTAGTGTTTATACCTCAAATGCTTAAATGAGAAAGTATTTTTTTTCTCTCTCTCTCTCTCTCCTTTATCTATTTACTTATCAATTTTTTGTATTTCAGTATGGATGTACGATTTTGAAATGTATTAAGAGACTTTATTCGTAATACTTTGTTACTATTTTTCACAAGATGCCATGAGGAACTAATCACTAGTTAGTAATGCTTTGTTTGAAGGATCGTGTTAAGACAACTAGTTGAATGTTATGGTTAACTGTTCCTGAATCTGAGTTCTTAATTTCATGCATATGATACATTTTCACCCAATGCTGCTGGGTGGCATGTATGTAAATGCTATGGCTGTTGTGGACAAAGTAGCAGGGGGCACTGTATCACGACCATTCCTGCACCATCAGCTCATCGGATGGAGCTTGTTTTTCAGCGATAGTAGCAACATCATTTCTATGGTTAAACTTTTATGCTTGTAATAGAATCAAAAGCAAAGGTAAATATTCATTTTTTCAAAGTTTTATTAAATGATTACAAAATATAAGCTTTAAGGTGCCTAATGTTGCCTGCAAACCATCGAATGAGTCAGGTGCAAACATGGGAAAGTGTCAGTGTACGCCAACAACCCCACATTATGTCCACTTACCGAATTTTGAATGGGTAAATTGAAACTATGGAGAATATTTGTAGAATGTTTATATGACTGATTATTTATTGCTGTTTCTGCTGTTCTTGCAATTGATTTATTATTTATGTAATTCTCATTGTTGTAATATTATCATCATTATTATTATTGTTATTACTAATTGTTACTATTGTTGTTTTATTATTGTTATTGCTATTCATTATTTTGTTACTAATGATTGCTTATTTTTGTTTTTATTTATTAATATTATTACTGTTATTTATTACTATTATTATTATTGTCAGTATTATTGTTATTGTTGTTATCATTATTCTATTACTTTTTTTTTTGTATCTTCTTCATTAGTGTTATTGGGTAATTGTTTAGAATGTCTTCGCACAGTCAGTCAGAACAATTTTGATATGGATGGATTCCTCTTACACTCTAGTATACACACACATACATATAGGAATTATGCCACAGAACCACCCAAAACTGCTACATTCTTGGCCCAGATAACAGGTAGGGCAAAGTACTAGGATAATTGCCATTTAAGATATTAATAACATAAGACCACAATAATTCATAATACCATTTAATAACTCACTATAATATGACCCTACCTTGGGGGCTGCTGCCCCCAACCCCTGCCTGATAACAAAGAATCCTCAACATATCCATAACAGGATAGAGCATATGAATACGACAAGATATAGCCTAGGCATTATAATATACTAATGTGATTGATAGATGCAGCTGAGCTGCAAGGGATCTCAGGTGGGGTTGGGAATGGAGCATGTGATTCTCTCATACTTCATTCTGCTGTACATACTTTGAGGGTTCTTTGTCTTCTAGAGAGAGGGGTTGGTGCGTGAGAGCCCCCCAGGGGGGTTATAGGGGATACAGCTCCCTGTATTACAAAAGTAGCAATTTATTCATTGTATGTTATTACCATAGTTATGTATTTACTGTATTCTGTTTGTATTTTACCCCACAATTTCCTTGGTACCTCCTCAAACCCTTCCCTGCTATTGGGGCTATGATTGCGGATAATAGGGGTTTCTGTGTCAATATGTTTGGATAGTAGAGAGTGAGAGGAAGCCATCAGTACCAAAATCATCAAGATCGGTTATGTGAAGGCATTCTGAATATTTAACTGTTATTGGTAATTATTGTTACTGTTGTTATAACTCCCTCACCTCAGGATATCCCAATGCCATACCAAGCCACATGGCAGGCTTTTCATGCAGGCAGATTGCATGAGTTAGATGTTAGAAGCAAGATGGCATATATTTTGCTTGATCTCTAAGCTTTTTGCTGCTGAGTACATAATTATTTTATGAAATTTGGCTAAAAAGAGGCTATCAGCCTACTTTTAAGGGGCACAGTTTTGGCCAAAACACAAACAACTATGCACATATCCACCATGAGTGGGTTAAAAGTACAAATTTGGGTAACCAGGTAAATTACTTTACCTCTGCTCATCTGGAATACAGTACGGTAATTGTTTACAAAGTGACTGCACCCCTCTAAAACTAAACCTTCCTTTTTTTTCTTCTTCTTCTTCTTCTTTCTTTCTTTATATATCAATGAGTGTAGATTTTATCTCTCTTTTTGACAGTCCTTTAATTTTCCCAATCTTAGTGCAGTCATTATTAAATGAAAACCCATGATTCTACTACCAGTATAATAATAGTGATATAATAATATGATTGGAGAACTGATTGATAAACAGCAGTTTTAAGTAAAGCAATTTGCTTTGTGTTGTACTTACTATTGTTAATAACATTGTGATAATCATAAGATCAGTGACAGTAATAACAGCATTAATAGCATTCAAAGTAAAACATTCACAAAAACTTAAGAAAAGGGGAAATCGTATGAGTTTAGGTCGGCTGACTAAATTGACACCTTGGTAGCTGAATACTTGTGGAACCGTCTAGGTCTTGACATGTTTCATAAAGCAGAACTATCATGTACAGCTGCAGACATTTCCAACTGGTACACCCCTATTTTTCTGGCAATACATATGTAGTAACCAGTATTTTGTGAATGGAATGCT